TTGTTGGGTGAAATAGTCATGTTGCAAGTGTCCCCAAAAAAATAGGCATTAGTACATTTGTTAGCAAATTAATTTCTTAATATATCAATAAATAGACTATGTTTCAAAGTAAGGGATTGTTTTGATAATGGGCTATAAAAAGAGGAATTATACAAATAATTTACAAATTAAATATTAACCTGTCAAGAAGTTCCAATTTAAAATAATTTCCAAAAGCAACATAAAACTATGAAAAAGTACTTCATTTAAAAAATACCAATAATAAATTATCAATAATTAAGTAAACGCTTTATGAGGAGATCAATAGTGCAGCAATAAAGACTCCTTAATCAACCCCAAACCAAATCACAATCTTTTTACGAAAATGTACCCCAGCAATATTGACTTCTGATTGTTGGATTGGTGCTGATGATAAAAGATTAGTCAGATAGTGTAAAATGACGGAATGTCGAATGGTGACCGGAACATTGAGCCAATGAATACAAGGGTACAATATGTGATTTTGGAACATTGATAGATCTGGGCAAAATGCTAGCAGGTTACTTTTGGACCAAGACCCACCAGTGGTGCGCTTAATATGTCTCACTGTGTCAAAAATAATAGTGGTGTCCACCTGTATATGTTGGTAAAGATAAACTACCGGTACTTAGTCACATGTGGTATATTTTAATTTATCTGACGAACTCCAGCTGATTTGTCATTGGATGATGATTATTGATGATCCATTTCAGTCTCTGAGCCAATCATATGGTTTTAGAGACTGATAAGCTGCTTTTCAGACATTAAAGTGATTAGCTTAAAATATTAATGTGATGTTCATAGCTGAATGATCCATTTGGAGATGCTGACTGCTGTTAGCCAGCTAATAACCCTACTTTGGATCCATGCAGTAAATCAGTTGTGAACTGGGCTACCCAGCAAGCTGCTAACACAGCTCAATGCTGGTGTCTTATAATGAGTGTATGTAACGGACACCATGCTAGCTGAGAGAATTTAATGTTACCTAGTTCCATTTTGCAGTTTGGATAGTTTACCACATTCATTTATTAGCTGCAGCTCATAAAGTGTGACAGAAACATCTGTCATGTCTGCTGACAGATGTTGAAAGGCTTAAACCGAAGAGGCCGATAATGTGACCCTTCTTATGTTAAACTGCTCTTAGGAAAATAACACCACGAGTATATTAAAGTTAAAGCGGATGAATATTTGTACATAAACAGTGGACGGCAACAAATCCTGTGCATGAATCAGGCGAGAGGTGGAGCAGCCGGGTGCAGCAGACAGAGGCAGGAAGTGACGCATTAACTCTGCTGCATAGGTCACAGGATTTTTTTTTGATGCTACAGTCAAGCTTTTCTCTTACTGTCACATTTCTACCATTGTATGATACGTAAAATATATAAACACTGATGAATTGAATTAAGGCTGGGCCATTAATTGAATTTCAATTAGGATTATTGCTTCCAACTATTATGAAAACAAGTAATAGACATATAATGATTATTATTCTGCATTTCATTTTGCAATAAGGCTCTTGTTGTGTGTTCCCCCCGGCCACACTGCCTGCGTGAGCAGCTCTTGACTGCGATGCGGTTCTGCTGTGTGAGGTTTCTGGTATTATGACCGTATTTCCTCGATTTAAAGTTGGACTACGTACTCAAATAAATGCCAGGACTCTCCAGCGGCCCGCTGCTTCAGCATTGCAGCAGACACACATTTCATGCCTGGTATCTTTGTACCATGCTCTATCACCCTTATTATTGTCCTCCCGCCTCACTCCCCCGTTGACCTGCGCTCATTTCAATTGTTAACAATAAACACCATCACTAATCAGAAGTTAGTAGGGCACATACAGTCCTTGGAGTTTACTTGTGTTTTTTTGATTCACCCTAGAGTTTATGAGAGACGTATTTAAACACATTGAAAAAGATGCCAACATTTTACGCACACACACTTCTCCTGCCACACACAACATGAGACATAACGTGACGCGCACAGCCAGGACATCAGGATTCAAGTAACTGGAATGATCTGGATTCATGATCCGACCTCATCGATTGATAACTAAATAACTGTGATCATCAGTTTGTGTGAAGCTCATCAGGGACGAGCAGACACACACACATACACACTCCTGCAGACAGGAGAGACGTTTTCCCTGCAGATTATGAGGTTTTCTATGAAGATCAGTGAGTGATTAGAAAAGAGCTGAGGAGCAGAGTCGTTCATTTATCGTTATCGAGGTAAAAGTTGGATTATTGATTTGAATTCATATCGCCCAGCCCCAGTAGACACTCTAATCTGTTAACATGGGCGCCAAAATAGTTTATTTATCTTTAAAGTTCACTAAATGTGTGATCATCAATCAAAGTCATTGAGTAATAATTATGATGACAATATTGACCAAAATAATAGTGATTACGATTTTTGCCGAGCAGCCCTACACTGACCTCTAGGTGACCCTGTACAAGTAGCTGCTCTTCTTCAGTCAGGTCCAACATGTCCGCCTGAATAACTCCCACGTCATTGTGCAGCGTACGTTAGTAGAACAGAGATGAAGCAGAGGTTTGTGTGTTTGATGAGCAGAGTTCACATGATGCCACTAAACAGGACAAATCTCAGTTCATTTATCAGACTTTTTGTTACCGAAATCTTTAAAATTGCTTTCAGTATTCAGTGGATTTGTGGGTTATAGAAACGGGGGAAACAGCATGATTATGAGCTGAGACTGACTCGCGATTGGTCAAGCGCGTGTATCGTTCAGACCTTGTCAACCCAGTTCCACCCTCTCATTGTCATCGCCACAGGAGAGCAGCTTTTTTTTTTTATCTAGGATAATTTGGCTTCAGTTCTGGATAGAAGGAGGAATAAGTGAAGTTTCATGCATCTATATTTACAGTCTGTGGTACTAAGAGCTGTCCGATGGATCACTGCGGACGTAAATATCGGGTTTGAACAGCGCCTCGGAATCACAGCTAATCACAAAATGCTGTTTACCAGCTGTTGTTGTCAGGGGCCAAAGGGGCTGTGATCTGACTGGAGGCCTGCCCGCTCTGCTGCAGCCAAATGTTGTTATATTAAAGAAGTTTCACTTTCATTTGTGGCATCCTGGCAGCCTTAGTAATGAATTGGGTAAAGGGCCGAGAGGCTGGACTTTAAAGTTCTCTGACTTGCTATGCGTCTTCACTGCCAACACCCAACAAGGAATTTACCCCTTTTCCAGTGCACTTGATCAGTGTGAGTTCAACACATGCTTGTTAGTTGATACATTAATAGTGGAGTATTTTATTCAATCATCCAATCATCATTATCTAATTTCCACATCATGGCTGTGCTATGATAATAATAATTACAGACCCTCTTTATCAGATCAGAAAATAAGAATTCAAAAGGATTGCTGTGACAAATACACTCCCCTGCCATAGATGAAACTGATGGAGTTCAACTCTAAGGCCTCTAATGCTTATGCTTGACCTTGCATAGCTGTTGTATTGCTGTGATAAGCCATTTCCAATTTGCAGAGCTTAGGCCTCTGCCTAAAACACACACACACTTCAGAGGTTGTGTCGCTGCAGCTTGCTTTGAGCAGTCAGCCCTCTTTGTGACGTGTCGCTGTAATCGATGATGTCAGTTCGGTGGATGCGTCGCCCCAGCCCTGACCGCATGTCATGTAATGTTTCTTTTTTTTTAACAATTTGAGACAACCGCTCAGCCGAAGAACTTCACCATCGACACTGCTCCTCCTGACTTCTGATTCCTGAAGTTGATCATGTGAGCGGCTGTCAGGAAGATCGAAGGACAGAATGAAAGAAAGAGACAGCTTCCAGGCATGAATCACATCAGCAGTCTGAGCTCACACACTTTCATAAACCCACAGGCCTGTCCTAATCTCCAGTCCCCTTTACTATAAGGGACCAATTTATGATGTCTTCCCCCGGATTTTATTGGTTAACTAATTAACATTGTGTTATTAATCCTTCACATTTTATTTCTGAAGGGATATTGATAATATACAGTTTGATGTCATCAATATCTTTCTGAGTTTGTTTATCAAAGTCATCATTAGAAGAATAAGTATTGTTTGTCAGGTTATGCACGTGAAGGATACCCCCTAAACAAAACTTCAACACTGTTCATGCCGCAGTTTTCCTTGACATAATTGTGAAAATTGACCATTCATAAAAACCTGACTGTCACTTGGAACTGTATGTAGGTGACAGTTTCCCCAGTAAAGTGTGAGACTTGTCTGAACATAGTCCACTATTTAGAGCAGTTGGAGCCCCAGGCTAATAACACCAGGAGCCCAAAATAGAAATGGATGGGTGTGTGCTATCATGCTTTAACATTACAATGATTGTTTTTATAAAGAGTCAGTGCTGCAGTTCTCAAGGAGCCACTTTTTCACCAAGCACCACACCCAAGAGAAGTCGTGGCCCTGACTGCCTCTGACTACTTCAGGTTACATTCTTCACAATGTGTTGGCTCATTCCTTTTAAAGCTGGTGGACAGGTTCTCATCTGACTAACTCTTGTTTTGTTGTCAACATTTGTCTTTAAAGGTCCAGTGTGTAATATTTAGGTCAAAGGGATCTTTGGCAGAAATTGAATGTAAAAATAATCCTAGTGATGTTTTCAATAGTGGGTTTCAGCTAAATTCTTTACCGTAAAATGGATCCTTTACATTTAAATACTTTATATTTACATCAGGAGCAGGTCGTCTCTACAGAGGCCACCATGTTCAAAACTGGACAAACCAAACACTTTTTAAGTTTTTATGACGACTGAAGTCTAAATGTTCTCTCTCATGTTTGGAAGGGGAGGGTGAGGTGAGGGGTAATCACCTTCAATGTGCAACTTCACCACTAGATATCACTAAATTGTACACACTGAACCTATAAGTATTTCTGTCATGTTTGTTAGGTTTGGAACAGTCAGTGGATTTACGTCAGCAGAGTTTCTCAATTAAAAGTGAGTTTGGATGTTTCCTGTGTCTTTCTCCAGATACAAGCCCTTCTTCCCGTTCCAAGTGCAGCCTTCGCTGGGTTCGGCCTGGGATTTGGACCTGTCGGTGCAGGAGAGCAAGCTGGGAGAAGGCAGACTCAAAGTCACCCTCATTGAATGTAGCAGGTGAAACACTTTAAATTCTGAATTAATAATATGATGATGATTATTATCAAGCAAGGTATTTGTGTTTGACTATGACATCAGATTGTTTCTTCAAATTATTTACTTTTGGATCAGTCAAAAATCAAGGTCAAAAAACATATGTTCCCAAAAACACAAGTGTCAAAGATTTGTCTGCAAGTAATGAGGTAATCTAAAGTTTACACCGATCAGAAAATGATTCCCCATTAAATGATGCCAGCCTCTCGCCTAGCTGATTGGCTAAACTAAACTAAACAATATGGATAATGGATGCTATATGATCCCATATGATAAGTGAAGTCGTCGTTTTTATAAAAATCTAAATCATTTGCCATCATATGGTATAAATGATGTCATCATTATGAAATGGCCTTATTACAGATTACTGTGTGCAGGCTATGCATCACCCCTCTAGTGTTTTCCAGGGAAATTATGTCTCTGAGCTTCAATATGCATGTAATGCTAGCTTTAGGGAAGCAGACTTATAAAGTGTATATGTCATGAATGACTCCACACCTTCTTAACCATGAAGTCGTGTCCTAGTCAACAGGCACAAGTTGTTGATATTTTTCTGATCAAAATTTGGGCATTTAATGAGCAAGATTTAGCAGAATTCAAAACTTAAGCAATTTTTTAAGGAATCTCCAGAAGGTCACAGAGAATTCCTTATTTTTTCAAATCATTTTGCGAAAGGCGATGAACCATGTCTTCATTGCAGTGTGGACAATTATGAAGGCCCTCTCTTTGCTTTTTTCACAATTCACAAGATCGATCAAGCACAGATTGTTTAGACTCGGAATTCAAAATATTCAAAAAAGTCTTAAAATTTGTGAAAATAAATGTTTTAATGTAATATGTCCTGTGCAAACTACATTTGCCAAATATTTGATTAGACTTCATGAAAATCTTTTGTTTGTTGAATATTAGAACTTAAATACTTTTCAGTGGCACAAGCCCCGGTGACTTGGGTGCATGTTTAAAGGTGCTCCTAATTAACTCATTTCTCCTAATCACAATGATTCATTACGGTTAGTGTTTGCAGGTCATTAGGTTATTCACTCTTACTGAGTTCAGTGCTGTTTATTGATTATGTGTAGAACTCACTTCATGTTTAGTGCCCTTTCATGTCAATGTAAAGCTGACTGGTCTTGTCCACTGCTGTGGCCACATGCCCTGTGACTGCAAGCTCGCTGGTTTGAATCCAGCTCGTCAATTTAGCATCTTCCATTTTTGACATGCATATGTGCACTTCTTTTATTGTGTGTATAATTTAAAGAATGTGTTGGATGTTTTGTCTCTGTCCACATCCTCTTGTGTATCTTTAGGGTAGGTTGGTTTTTCCCTGGCTAGCCTCTTTGTTCCATTTGGAGAAAATCATCCTATGTTATATCTAGATATTTTGAGCTCGGTGTTAGTCAAAATTAATAAATAGCTTTGCCTATTTTACAGTAAAGCAGATTTAATGTTTAGTTTACCAAAATATACATTCTCTCCCAAATTTGAATAGATAATGCTGTGATTTACTTGTGTACAGCGTCAACAGTGAAAAGAAATATTTATTCATAAATTTAAAGTTTCCTTTCAGTGCCACTGCAGGGCTTTCTTAAAATGGCATTGTACATATTTTATATCTGCTCATTGTGAACAGCTTTGCCCCAAAGACCTGTCACTTCCATCTATACAAACTGACTATAGCCATTTATAGTCAGCTGTACCCTTATGCATTGGATCTTTGCAAAGCAGCTCATAGTTTTTCTTACTGCTCAAACAAAGAACAGAGTTTGTTCAGCTAAAATTCACAAGTACATTTATTATAAACACTCAAGATAACAAGTTGGGAAGTAATTTGATCTATTTCTGCTGTGGTGGCAGAATGGATCTACCTACTACTTCCACAAACATCTGTCTGCATTTCTTTATGTGGAACATATGCTTCGCAAACTGTTCATCTGATCAGCTCCACACTATTCTTAATGGCCCAGGGAAGTGCACTGTCACATGTGGTGCGATTCGGACACACGACACATCTAATATTAATACAAACTGAATAAAGAGGCAGTACTCTGGACTGAGTTGAACTTGTCTCCTTCTACGTCTTCAGATAAACTAGAGCAGTGGTCGACAATTGGATCAAACCATGTCATGGATCAAAATCACCGCCAGACTATGAAAAACACTGACTATAAAAGTTAGTGTGACAGCATATTGTAGAACTGTTTGAGGAGGACTCACTAATGACAAGGAAGAATTCTGAAGTAGCACCAGAGCTTTAACGCAATCCTTTCCAAACAGGCACATTAGCGACAGGCACTGCATGAGTATTTTACCAAGATAAAACTAGTGGTTGGAAATAAGCAGTATCTGATAGGACACCAACATGCATATTGAACGTGAAGGAAACACTGAATGTAAAAAAGTAACCTTAACTTGAACTGTTTCTCATCACCTTGTGACTCTGGCAGCTGCTGTTACATAACTTCTTCAAACCCTTTAGCATCTATAAAGCTCCTTCACGATGGACGGTGCACTCTCCTTCTCGCCAGTCTCCTCTTTCTGAGACAAACACACTCCCTCTTTGTCCAAAGCTGGCTATGTTTAAATTTTAATTGTCCAATGAGACAAATCAATTAGTCCAGGGTCATCCCGGTGGAGAGGTCTATCTTTTGTTGCCCTGGAGACCGTTGTGTGTGTTTTGAACCATGCTTTGATGTGGGTAGACCACAAGATGATCAGATCAGGCTCATCGATGAATAATTCATGTCCTGCCCATTATAATCAGAGTCTCTCCTCTTCCTCGTCCCTCTTACATCACCTTGTTCTATACAGGCAGGTTTGGAGGCTGCCCTCCCAGTCCTACTCATTTAAACATTAAATAAGATTGTATCACAGTCTCACTGCTTTAAAAGTGATGGTTAGACGTTTGCTGTGTTTCACATAGCAGGTGCAGTGTGCTCAAAGTGTCCAGCAGAGGGATCTATCCACCCATTTAACACGTTCTGTGGAATCTCACAGAGACAAGCAGCTGAAACTTATTTTTTGACAACATGCATCTTATCATGACCATACTGGTTGTGTTATTCCTGAAATGTTTAGTTACACATAGTTTTAGTGTATAAGATAAAATCAGGGAATATCTGCTCGTCAGTGTTACATTAGGAAAGTAGCCTCATGCATTGATCTCCTCAGCACAGTAGGGGGCAGCATTCACCCCTCAAACAAGTACACCGTACCATTTTCAGTGATACACAATATGTTTGAGTTTTGAATAGTTTCAAGATTTCAGTCTTTTGGAATTCAAGACTAATTTCCTGATGATATCAACTGACCCTCAGTTGTATTGGACAAAAATCTGTTCTGACAGAAAATTAATGGAAAAAGTTGAGCTTACATGTGTTTTTTAGAAACCAGAAAACATTTTTGACAATAAAATATTTTTATAAATATCTGCTAATGCCCCATTAACAGATGCCTGAGTCATTTTGCAGTGGTCACAGGTTCAGTTCCCAACTATCATACCCCCTTTTACACACCTCCTGGATGAATAAAGTCTAAATGCCCAGAAAATCTCTTTAAATAAACTAAAAATATCTGTCCAAGTAAATAAACCACATTGGAATAACCAACACAAGGTAATTTCTGAAATGCAGACTTACTCCTAAAGAATATTCTTTGTTCTCTGACATCATGGTGAGAAGAAAACCTTCACCACTGAACTTCTGCATGTCTTTGATTTCAGAGGAAACCATCATTATCACAGCAGTGTTCACAGAGTACTTGGAAGAGCATTAGTTTAACACACAAATACTTTCTTACAAACAATTTAAGATGGCAAATTTAAGCCATAATTGTTCCAAAAGATAAATTATTGTAGTTAATTTTAAAATGCTATTAGTCCTCAGTGACCCCTGAGGTGAGTAGCAGCAGCAGCATTGGTTGTTGCAGCAACACTTTTCCGGCCCAACATAAACATGCTCAGTGCGGTTTTCCTGAATTAGCTCAAGTCAATAATGACGGATAATTGTTGTTTTCATCAGGAGTGTGTTGGTGTGATCTGGTCAGATTTGATAACCCAAGAAGTTGATCCTAATGTTTCCAAATTATAACGGTTCCACAGCAATGACAGTTTTGTCTTAAAATCAGTGACGGTCACCATGATCATAAATCACCTAAAGAGGCCCCCTGCCACTAGCTATCTGTCAAAAGCTTGAATGTGTGTGTATTGTACATTCTGTATGTGTTTGCACTTAGTTAACAGTTATCATTTTGATCATAAAAGCATCTTTTGAACCATTCAGTTCAATATTGGCCCTCCTACCAAGTCCATTTAGCCAGGGGCCCCTCAACACCCCATGAAATGCTCCTGTGTGCCATATGATGTATGTTTTGTTTTAATCAAAACTGTTCCAGCCTCCGAAAACTTTTTATGGGTCAAATGGGATGTTATAAGTGTTTATGTGCCTGATGGAGAGAAATAGGTTTTCAGGTTTTTAAGATTTGTTACATTGTGAATCTCACAGTAATAGTTAATGTGGTTCTCACTTGTCTTGTGTCACGCCCCTGCAGACTGTTCATCCTGGGCTCCTATGATAGAGAAACCTATGTTCACTGCACTCTGGAGCTGAGCAGCCACCAGTGGAAGGAGAAGACTCGCAGCTCCATCAAACGGGTGGGTTTTCCTTCACCAATGCACTGCACCATGCCTTAATATACAGAAAACTAAAAAGTATGTAGTAATTATATTTGATGTGCTATGTGAAGCATGTCCAGTGTCACAGAACTTCAGTACAATTAGGTCGTTAAAAATCACCAGCATCTTCTTCTTTCTTGTAAAGGTGTTTAGATAAAAATGATGACAGGATTTAATGCAGATGGCATTGAGGTCACATATTGGTTGTTGCATCCCATTGAATTGTAAAGCACAGTCGTAATCCACAGCCAAAAGAAGTCAAACTCTGTCCTCCTGTAAATCTGTGTGATAACATTTTGCCTGCATTTATTAACATAATAATGAGTCAATGAAAGGTTTCGAGTGTTTGCTCACGTCAATACACAGATGAAAACTGGATTCAATGTAAAAATTTGATTCAAAAAACATTTTTTTAATTTATCAGGAGACCGGGCAGATTTGAAGTGTGTCAATGAGCCACTGGTTTCCATGGACACCAGCACTGTGGAGTTTTAGAGCAGAACAGAGAAGTTTAGAAACGCTGCTGGCACTGTTTTAGTTTGAAAACGTCAGGGGTTCCATTTTAGTATAGATGAGCAGAAACGGAGATATTTGGAAACGATGATGTAGACACACACAACAACTCACAACTTCACAACTTTTATCTGGACCCTCTTCCGGAAGAAAACATATTTTTACTCAGTTACCAGTGTGTCTGACCCTTTTGTCTCTGCATACAGTTGTTGTACAGTTATATTATATAATGATACAACTGTTTACGTGCATAGGAGACAAACTATTATTTGAGCAATCTTGAAAAACACTGCAACTGACAACCAAACGGTTTCTGTGAATCCCGGCATGTGCTCGCCCTGTGCACGTGTCACGTGATATGTGTTTTCAGGCGTGTTAGTATGGACTGGGATTACAATAGATATTAAGATTAAAATGTGTGGACAGAAAATCAGAATGTTATTATTTGAAGTCAGTGGCTATAAGCTGCCTCTATAGGTCAAATGATGAACTAATGATATTGTTTTGTTATAATAGGAAACAAGTCTGCTCCCTAAACTCTATTTCTTTTTAATATCATAACTCCCATCTGCATCATCACACACAATAAAATTCAATTTTAACAGGCTTCAAACCAAAAACACAATTACTGTCACATCCCATATTAAATGATCTAATATGCCTGCAACCCTGCTCATGTTGTTACTGGGGTGTAATTATTGTTGCAATTGGCAAAACATTTAATCCACTTTCATACATGTTGAGCTTTACCTTTATTGTAATTTACTGTGATATATGGAGTATTGTTTGGTTTGGGAGTATCTTAGAGAGAGAGAGAGAGAGTGATCTGTGAGACGCAGCGGATGATGCAAAACACACAGGATGATGACAGAGAATCAGATTAAATATGTTTAACACTAGATGGAAGCTATTGCTAGAAAATTATATATTTTTTTAAAAGATATCTCTGCTACAGCCCTGCACCTAAAATTTACAATATATGAAAAAAATTAAACAGTGGCCCTGCTGAAAAGTCCTGGGTCTAATTGACACATTAATCCAATTATTTTCATCTTCCTTCCGCTGATGAGATTTCCCATCGCTGACATTTTCAGAGGCTAGAAAATGTTGAGGCCCCTTCGGCAAACCTTTTCTAATTGCCGCAATTTAGAGATATTACAGTTATCACATCAGGCTTGTTTGGAAGTGAATAATGACCGTTTTAGAGTGAAATGTCAGTCCTGATTACTGGCTCTGCTGGTGCTGGTCCTGTCACACACTTCTGAATGACATTTGCAGCAGCTCAAAGATTTTATTGAACAGTAATCGCCCTGTACTGTTTTCTGATGTTGTGTTTAATGACCTCGGACGATTTCGGTCCTCCACCAGCAGGTGGCAGTGAAACATCAAGTCTTTAGTTGAGATCAAATGATCTATCTTTTTTTTCTCTCCCTCAGAAGCATCAGGTTATTGTACTGTAATAAAACAGATCAGTGATTCTGTTTGTGCACACTCAATATTTACTTTGCAAATACAAATAAAAATGAGTATGAATTGAAGTTGTTGGAAATCAACTGAGACTTTACACAGCGTGATGGTGCGTTTCTTCCTTTCCGATCATCACTGGAGTATAAAATGGCATTTATAAAACAGAATAAATAAAATAAATGAATTATCAGATACATGAGATTAAGCACAAACATTTGCATTAACATGTCAAAATGTCAAAACACACTAATAAAGAAAACACACAAAAGCAGGATGTTGGATGAGGTAGTTTTATTTATACAACACAATAGAACAATATTAAAAGAACAATTGCATATTTAAACCTGAATATAATGTTAATGAGGTGTTAAAAGATAAGACAAGAATTAGATGAGGAACTCCGTTGAAATCAGCACTAATGTACAGTTCAGACATCTGAGGACCTGCTTGCTTTTCCACGTTGTCTCATTGTCCCGGTAAAACCATCTTATCTCAGCAAGCCACTGGCTCTTACTGTTGTGCAGGATCACGTGAAATATGATGAGTGCACGGGAAGAGAAATGTGCAGCACAGCCAGATGGAAAGGTCATGACACAAAAAATGGTGTTATTCTGTCCTATGGATTTTGGTTAAGTTTTATTTTGAAACGACATTTTCTTCCTGTCTTTTATCAACACCGAATGCAGGCATGCCCTTAGTGCATTTTTCACAGTCTGAAATAAATGCCGCTATACTGCTACAATATGTGCTAGGACAACAGCAGCAAACAGCATTTAATGACAACATGTAGTTGCACTTACACATGCGACACAAACACATTTACAGGCCTTCCTCCAGGACTGATTGAACACCACGGTCAGGCAGAGGTGCAGCCAGCAATCCAATAAGTAATGAATATGTGAACTGACCCCCCCCCCCCCCAACACTTGACCAGTGCAGCCATCCGCACAGCCCCCTCCAAGTGGACCCACTTCAAAGCACTCGTTTCCCTTTTTTGTTAATAAAGGCATAGAGATGCAGATTCACGCTGGCATTTGAGCCTTATTTATCAGACTTCCCCAGTCTGCATGTCCCCAGCAGGACTCCGTAGTGAGGATTAAAGGCTATACCATCTGGTAAAGGTCAATTCGCCATCTTCTTCTCCCCTGGTGATTGCAAGATATGAGCTCCCCTCGCTTCCCTTATGAAAACAGCCGCTTGTCTCGTGTATGTTAATGGTTTTCGTACCATTTGAATATTCTCTCACTTCACCAGCCACTTGCTGCTGCTTTCCACTGCACCATGTGTCCGTCGTCCCACGGTGACTGTTTTCAACATGCCTTTCAGGGCTCGGTTCAAATCTATCTTCCAGCTGCATATCGACTGTTTAGTTTCTGGTTGCACACACAATAGAGAGTCACAATACCATCATTGGTACGTTATGAATGGGCCTGAGAGACACGGGCTGGTTTTTAATGAGCTATTCACAGGCAATCTGCTGCTCACTGTTGTTTTCAGTGTCCAAATATTATTTCTCCACCTCACGTATTATTAGCTGCTGCTGATATGTTTGACATTATCCAGCTCTGGTTGTGTCGTCATCATTGCCTCACCACCAGTGTTATGAACAGTAGCTCTTCCTTCACACACTAATCATACGTATCATGCCTTAAATGTGTGTGTCAGTGGAGCCTTATTTTGTATTTGCGGTGTAGTTGTTGGCATGGGAGCTCTATTGGGTCTTAGATTCCATTATAATGGGACACACAATGTTTCTATGCAATTATGTAGGGTGGCTGTAGACCGCTACCTGGTTTCTCACACAGCATGGTCGAAATTAGGTGCCCTGTGTTTTTAGTGCACTTGTCCAAACATCAGTTGCTTCAATCACGTGCGTCATCATTCATCTGAAAGGTCTGGTTGCTAAAGCCAGCCTCCTGAAAGTCTATCTGTTCATTCTACTCTTTTGCATCTTTGCTCTCAGCAGCCCTTGTCCTGGAGATACACTGGACATCACCTGACACAGGCTGAGGTCACTAAAGGCCACTGGGTTACTGGGTTTTCCTGTTGTCCATTTTTCATAAGCTTTTTTCCTGCGTTTGATTTTGAAATACTTAAGTTAATACAAAATCATTAATAAGCTAGCCCTCGGACAGTTGTGAATTGTTAAAACAAAACAAGTGAGGTGTAATTATAAATGTTCAGCCCTGAAAATACCCAATCATTTAAGTACTGGGGACTCTGACTGAAATGATACTATTATAGGAATCAATGTGGAAATGATGTATCTGTATTTTTAAGAATACATGTTTGACAATAGCTATTTTAAAAAGGTATTTTATATTGACAGTGCTAGTACATCTAGTCTGGACCTTGTGTATTTGGGGTTTTGGGGGACAATAAAACCTAGTAGTTCTGAATGGATTATAATTATATAAAGAAAGAAGTAACCCTGCCCCCCCATTGGTCCATGCATCTGCACAACAGGCTAAATGAAAGCCAGTGTGAGGCTGGGCGGCGGTTTTTTTGTTTTTTTATTACTCATTATGGTGTGTTGAGGGTGGGGGAGGGGTGGGGCTCTGTCAGGCGTGTTTGCACATCTGCCCAGTCAATTCCATCGTCTGCACTGAGAGCTGATGCTTGCTGACAGCTTGACCGAAGGGACTTTCAATGTGTGTGTGTGTGTGTGTGTGTGTGTGTGTTTGTGTGCACAAACACTACAGCTCCATGCCTTGAAAAGGTGGTTACACTTTGTGGTTTTGTCTTGTGTAAAAAGGTGTGTGTGCGTGTGTGTGTGTGTATGGCTGTGTTCCATCGGATGTTGTGTGTGGTCAGGGTCGTTGCCCAGGGCCCAAAATGATCCAGTTTCCCAGAGTTGAAGCCGCTGTGATTTATCATCAGTGAACATGGACCGTCGGTGATTAGAAGTCAGATTAGAGGAAATATGGCCGGCTTCTTATCACACGTAAGTTTAGGTTGAGAACAATTTACACAGCCACTCATTTACCTTCAGGTCAGAG